AATATATCTTTATTGATTTCAGAGAGAGGAAAGGAGAGGGAGAGAGAGAGACAGAAACATCAATGATGAGAGCGTCATTGATCGGCTGCCTCCTGCACGTCCCCGACTGGTGATCGAGCCCACAACCTGGGCGTGTGCCCTAACTGGGAACTGAACCCCGATCGCCTGGATCCTAGGTCGACGCTCAACCGCTGAGCCGCTCCTGGCTGGGCAAAGTATTTGTACTTTTCAAGCAATCTTTAACATGAAATATATACAAGAATGAATGCACAATTTTAAAAAAGGTTATTGCATTGTATATATAGCTTATTCTTTTCTGTTTTGTTTGTTTAGCTTATCCTAACTTCCCCTCATCCTGATTCCTTTGTATCTGATGTGCCCAGTAAATAATAAATGTAGTTTACTGGCCCTGTTAAAAAATGGTGATACATGGTATTATACAGTACATTTCTCAAAACGCTGACAGAATATACAACACCAAGGGAGAGCTCCAATATAAACTATGGACTTTGAGTGATAATAACGCATCAGTGTAGGTTCATCGATTGCAGCAAATGTGGCACTCTGGTGCAGAGGCTGTGCTTGTGTGGGGGCAGGGCAACATGGAAAATCTCTGTACCTTCCACTCCATTTTGCTATGAACATGAAACTATTTTTTTTTTTTTTTAAATATATCTTTATTGATTTCAGAGAGAGGAAAGGAGAGGGAGAGAGAGAGACAGAAACATCAATGATGAGAGAGGCATTGATCGAGCCCGCAACCCGGGCATGTGCCCTGACCGGCAATTGAACCCCGATCGCCTGGATCCCAGGTTGACGCTCAACCGCTGAGCCACGCCGGGCCGGGCATGGAACTACTTTCTTAAAAAAAGTCTATTGAAAAGGAAGAGGCTGCATTCTGTCATACCAGCTCGCTAAGACTACATGAGACTCTTACCCACTCCCAAGGAATCTCTAGTCACTCCATTTGTTGGGCAGGGTTTGTATCTCATTCCCTCAGCGCTAGCCTGGAGATAATCACCTCAGAGTCCTGACAGTGCAGTTTTCCAGGCTCCTCAGATTGGGGTTTGACAGCTTGACTCTTTCCTAAGGTGGCTCCAGCCAACTTGGACTGTGGTGGCCGATGATCATGTTTTCTACATGAATTCCCATCCGACGTTAGGCCGAGGAACCCTTCTTTTCCTTTCCCTATGTCTTCTCTGTCCCTGAAAGACGAGTCCTACCCTCTCCCCTCCACCAGCTTTCTGCCCACAGTGAGCTTGAGCCTTCTCTCGACTTTTCCTGCAGAAATAATGTCTCATTTTGTTGAAGGAACAGGCCATGAGTCAGTATCTGAAACAGGTATTTCTTTCGAATCAAGGAAGAGTTGGATTTGTAAGCCTGTCGTTCTCAAACTTGAACATGCCTCAGAATCACCTGGAGGGCTTGTTGGATTACAGGGGCTGGGCCCTCACCTCCAGCATTTCTGATTTGATAGGTCTAAGATGGGGCCTGAGAATTTGTGTTTCTAACAACCGTGCTGATATTCTATTTTGAGACCCACTGTTCTAAAGCAAATGGTGATCTTATATGCAGTTTTGGATGTAATTCAGGGGTTGGGAGAGTTTGAGATTATCGAATGCCCCCAAAGCAGAGGATGCGTGGTCACTGTGTTATTGACTGACTGACTTTTCCATCACTGTCAAAGAGGCATACGCCCTGATGTGAGGCTGTCACTGATTAACTGGGATTGTTTTTAGTTTTGTGCTTACTTACCTGTGTGGATTAGACTCAAACAGCAGCCTTTTCTTATATCTGGAGCAAAGAACTTTTTACTCTCACATTCATGAGCATATATTCATATTGCTCCTCCCCCTTCAGAAGCAGGAGCATCTGGTTTTTCCCATAGAAAGTGCTTCAAGATTTGTTTCGGAGTGGAGGGCATCACCAACAGTGTCATTAGAAATGCAGGGGCACTGGAAGTTACAACTCATGGGCATTAATAGCCACTGCTACTAAGGATTTCACCCTTCAGTAAAACCGTAGGAGCTGAGTAATTTAGGTTCTCCGTTTCCCTTTCTTAGCTCAGATCTGAGTGCTCTACGCCAGTCTCCAGGAAATAAAGGGATGGCTGGGAGGGGAAAGCCTTTTTCCCTGTGATTTCTCCTTACCACAAGAATGTGTACACTCATCCCTGGGGAGTCCTGTGGGTCCTTTGGGAGAGGATCAGTGGCAGCACTGTGCCCACCTGGGAAGCCTTTGGAGACGGAAGGTGGTCTTAAGTACGTTGTGTGAGAGTGGTATTCATAACCGTAAGAAGGTGGCCGTTTCCAGGGAGGAATACTGCGTAGACCAAGAGGACACTGACGCTTGGGTACAAGTAGCTTTAAGTTGTACATAGTTTTATGTACTTCATGTAAGTCACAATTTCACAGAAAGAGAAACTTGCAACACTGATGAGGAAGGAAAACATAAAAGAACAGGTTTCACAAGAAGCCACTGTTTCTGTTTCTGATTAGTTTTTAAGCAGAGGAATTCAGAGTCCCTTTGGAGCTCAGTCAGGCAGATAGCTAAAATTGCCCCCAGTGTGAAATCCTTCTCCAGGCCTCTTTTGAGCACAGGGCCTTTATTCTGAACCCAAATTGTGCAATTCAGATTGGACAGGTCTCAGTCCATTGGTAGAAAGACAGAAGAAAAACCCACCACCACAAAACCCAGGGTTTCCCTGCAGTGGTTGACTCAGATGGCATAAATAAGAGGCATAGCGCAGGAAGCCGAGAGCTCAGTCCGAGGTTCTTCCTTGGTGTAGAGCAGGCTGTCCTACAATTTAAATTCTGACACTATCTACTTAGAGGTAGCATCAGATCCCACAGGTTAAAGGCTCAGCCCACAAAACTGGACCCCTCTCCAAGTCCAGATGCAGCTGGTCACCTGTACTTCTGACCAGCTACAAATCGGAAAGTTCCCATAATCCCCTTCTTGGGTTTACTTTCCTAGGGTGGCTCACAGAACTCAGGAACATTTACATTTACCAATTTACTATAAAGAATCAATATAAAGGTGAAGGATACAGAAAAACAGCCAGATGAAGAGGTACATAGGGTGAGGTCTGGAAGGGTCCCCATGGAACTGGGGTACACCATGCTATTGGCATATGGAAGCTTTCACCAACCTGGAAGCTTATCAAATCTTGTTCAGTTTTCATAGAAGTTTATCAGCAGCACCGCTGCCCCCGACAACTTCCACTTCCCAGAGGTTGATGGGTGGGGCGAAAGGTCCTACCCTCTGCTAACCTGATCTTTCTGGTGACCAGGGGACAGACTAAACATATTTCGTATTATAACACACATACCCACTTGGACTGCCTTCCTCTTGCCCAGTGATTCTCCTTCTCTAGTAAATGTGGACTAGGAAACAGAAAAACCCATTCTAGTGGAAGACTGAGAAAGGGGAAACTGGTAGGAGCAATAATCTCCTGGTTTCCCCTTAGTGTTCCTGGGTCCCTGGTTGCACCCTATTGCAGAAATCCAGTTGTATCCTGACCTTGTGTTCTATGAGCACCCACCACATTTCAACCTTATAATAAAATTCTGTGCTCTTCGTTAATGGGATGGGTTTCCATCACCTGCAACAAAAAAGACTGTTAAAACAGATTTTATCTTTAAAAGAAAACACTGCATCCACGTAATATTGGAAAAGTAATTATTTATTATGACAAAAATAAAACTGTTGACTGAAAACGAATGTTACACTGTATTGCACCATGATTGCAAATGAGGCAAACCTTGTCTAAAAGATGAACATTCCAGAGCAAACAGCATCCTTTTACTTGGGTATGTAGACATGCAGGCAACTCATTATAATGTAATTGCAGAAATAAAGAATCATGACTAGCAGCAACCTAAACTTAACATATAAAAGAAGCACTTTATGACAGTAATGAAGCTATTAAACATTTAAAACATCTTTTAAACAACCTACATTAGAAGAACATGCTTTGAGCCATTTTCAAGAGATGATGTAAATACAGCAAGTAATTTGTTTGCTTTTTTTAAAAACAATTAATACTTATATAATAGACCAATAGCACACATTTCAGTTGCTTGACGTTAAAAAGCATAGTCTGTGGCATGAAAGACATTTTTTTTTTTCTTCTGTACAACCAGGGTACCCACAGAGATCCAATTCATAATTTTGGCCTTATTAACACCATCTTCTATTTGACCAAGGTTATTAGCTAAGATATTGTTTCAGCTTTTGCAGAAAGCCTGAAGCTTGAAGAATAACACCAGGTTGTATTAAACCATAAGAAATGAACATAAATGCAAATACAGACACTTTAAAGTAGTTTTACATTCTGAAGCAAGAAGGATATTATACAGGGCCTGCTGTTTCCTCTTTAATGCTCTAAAGCACCAATTTATGTTAGATGGCAACATGTGATTATAGTCATTATATTCTGATTAGAATAAATGCAAGAGCAGGGCTGTTGCTTTTAACTTTTTTCTTTTTAAACCATGTTCTGTGTAATAGATGAAAAGGGTAAAATTTATAACTATTACATAATTGGAAAAAAATGTAACCATAATCTTATCTCACACTCTTAATGAAATAGCAGCTAAACTTTTTTAAAAAATCAAAAGTTTTCATAACTACACTGAACAGTTTACTCCAAGAGAACAAAAGAGGGGCTACAGACAGAGTCCCTGAGTGTTCTGAGGGAAAATGTAAGATTAAAACGATTAAAGTCTCTCATGAATAGGGCCAAAATAGGTAAATCAATTACAGGTAACCAAGGTCAACTGATAGTCATTTGGTATCTTACCAACACTAATGGAAATATATTCACAGTATAATCAGATTTTAAGGTTTTCCTTTCCCTTGATATTAATTAAACTAATTAAATATTGACTGGGCACTTGTCCACTTACTTTAATGAAGACAATGTTTGTATCTGCCACGCCAGGCTAGCCCTGCTGGTGGTAAACAAGAACAAAACATAACAAAACCTCCAACTAATACTATCCCTTAGTTGTGGATTTTGCATATTTCAAATAGAGTTTGGATGAAGGGGTACTTATGGGATGGTGTTACATCCCACAAACTTGAGCAAAGCACCTTATTATGGGTTGAAAAATGAGGTAATTTTTAAATTAAAATTTTATAAGTTGTGCAAGAGAATATTTCCATTTTTCTAGAGCTTTGTTTTCTATTTCAAAAGATATGCATGGCACATTTTATTATTTCTTCACTTCTGAGAGATGTAGATTACTGAGTTTTAACAATCAAAAGATCTATGTGACTACATTCCCAAAGTCTAAAAACCTGATCAGTCTTTAATCCTTTGGCCATGATAAAAATAATATAGGCCCAACCAGTTCTACGGTAAAAGACTGTACTTTCTAGTCTAACTTTAAGTACCTAAATGGGGAAAATTCTGTTTTAATTCAAATTTCCTATTACTTAATATCCTTTTTAAGATTCTCTACCCATGTCTATCTTTATTATCAAGTGTTTTGACTTGTTACTAGGTATGCCTCTATACCTCTCTAAATTAACATTTCCCAAACTATATACATTTAAAGCTCATTTTAGGTCTGCTGACCACAATTTTTCTATCTTAAATATAAAGTAGTTGAAATTATCTTTTTTTATTGGCCTTCTCTATTTAGCTTTGGCCACCTGGAACTCTTAAAAAAAATACTTCTTGGGAACCTGACTTTTGGATTTGTCTTCACAGTAATAATAAATGAGTAAGGATGAGACAGTGCTGAAAAAAAAGAAAGAAAAAACTCCCCTTGAATACAGGCCACTCTCAAATTTAGTAGGTGTTTGTAAAATACTGACTTGCCGGCTGCACTATCCTTTCAATGCTGGAATGTCAAACACAACTGCAGTTTGAGATGGCAGAAAGTCAATAAACTCTGAACAAACTAACCGGTTCTAATTAGTAAAAGCCAGGAAAGTAAGCGAGGTATTCTCTAGAAAAGAGTATTTCCAATAGAAGCTGGTGTTTCCTAAGTAGCTTACTATCTTGCTCTTAGCAATAATATGGCTTATTTTCTTTTGCATTGTCATTAGCTGTTAGCTCAGTTTAAGCTGAGTAGCAGTTACTAGGTGATGCTTTGTTTTCTTATTTGATTGTATTCATATACTAAATGAAATAGGTGGGAATAAAATAATAGATAAAAATGAAATTAATTTCACATTACATGTATTTTTGTTTTGTTTTTCAATTTTAATATAGCATACTGAAGAAGGCTGTATTTTAGAATCAAAAGACATGTCGGAGTTGTAGCTTGTTTAAGTTCCTCAGTATGTGAAAAACAATAGGAAGGTCACAAACAGTAATTGTTTAAGGCCAACTAGACAAGTAAATGCCAAGCTAAGCTTCAAATCCACTTCTTTCGATAGCTAGCAAAATATTGTACCAGATACAAGTTATCATGCTGTATCTTTTGGGTTTTTTTCTCTTCTTTTTTTCCTTTTCTTTATCATACAGTATCTTGAAATGACTTTACCTTGACAAAATATAAAGGATCCTTTAGAATTGAACTGGATGTGAAATGTTTTGGATCCAAAGCCACAGATGAAAAGTTAGACTCATAAAGTTGGTCTTCAAACATAAATGTTAATGGAACTCACCAATCTACAGGCATAACAGTACATTTTTTCAACCTATATGGTTTTACATATTAAAAAGTAAATGCATGGTAGTCAGAAACAATTCCATTTCTAATTTAGCCTAAGATATACCACACCAAAAATATTTTTTTAATATTTTATTTTCTTTAAAAATTTTCTTTGCTTTGTGACTCCCCATAATTCTTCAGAAAATACTGTATACATTGCTCCCTACATCAGTCACTGTTTCCATAGGAAAAAAAAATTTTTTTCCCTCTGTTATAGATAATGAATATTAACTTATGCTTAATGAAAATCATTATGGCTATAGGGGTGGTGCACATGTAAAAATTATTTTTGTTATCTTTCTTCCAATGAACAGAATAAAATTATACCTTTAAGTATACTAATGCAGAACCTAAAAGCAAAAGTTATGTATTTAATCAGTTTTTCAATAGATTACAGATATATATTTCAGATTTTAAGAAATTAAATTACACTAACAATAAAAAATGTGCAGGATATCCCCATATTAAAGGGCCTGTTAATTCTAAGAGTTCTCCAATAGGCTTCAATAAGAGAGATGGGTTTAAATATGAACGCAATGTGTTCAAAATTAAGAAAAGTGCCATATTTGAACTTGTAAGGGTAGCAATTACATTTTAGTTATGACATATTTAAAAGATAACATTTAGTTTCTTTATACTCAAATTAAAAACAGAATGTAGAATATTTCTAAACTAATGTTGGTGCATCCCTTGCTTTCCACTATTAGAAACTTTGCTAGGCAATTGAGGGATTGGTGGGTAGAGTAAAAACTCGAATTATATAAGTGTTAATTAGCTGCTAATTTGAGAACTCATCTCAAAATATGAATATAGGCACTAATTAAATTTACATTTTTCATCAGACAATATTTTATAGTTTGTTGATTTACAATGAATGTCAGAATCAATGCTTTAGCATTAAGATACATGTTTGGGTCAAAACATTCTCTTGGAGTAAAGGGTAATCAGTTTTCATATTACTGTAACAGGAAATGTCTATTTAGAACCTATAATATACTTTTAAAAGGTCTTATATGAATTTCTTAATTCAACTTCCCAAATGTTGGCACAAAATCGAGTTGAATGCCATTTTCATTGTCAACGCACAGCGTACATAAATCATTTCTAATCCAAAACAAAATGCTTTTGAAAAATGGATTCAGAAAATAAAATAAACTGTATTTTAAAAATTAAATAGCAAACCTGAATCTATACTAGCAGTTGTTCACTTTCAATATAATGCTGATGTGGTAATATAAAAAATAACCACGTAACTTGGTAAGTGAAAACTTAGCCAGCCAATCTTATTAGGTACAGGGCGACAAATTCCAAAGTAAAAACAAGGAGTATTAACAAGTTTTTTTGTCAGGACAGAGTCAGGAGAACCATTCCCAGTATTTATAGCTAAACTACACAATGAAGAGAGAAGTTCGGGCTGCGTGTGCTTGGGTAGTAGGGTTTCCCTGACGCCCGCCCCTCTCGCTGCCACACTCGCACCGCGAGGCGCTCCCATCACCGGCCGCCTCCCGGGTTCCTGAGCAGGGACCGCACTGCAACGAACTGACCCTCCACCGGGGCGGGCCACGAACAACACGGTTCAGAACAGGGTTAATAAGAAACTCGCTCCAAGGTTTTCCGTGGCCATGGTCCAGTTCCAGGGGTGCTGCCACCACACACAAACGGGAAAACTGCTGCCGTGTTTGACTAAATTAGACTCAAAAGAATAAAGCAAATATACCTGGAAACACAGCAAGATTTAACCAACTTACAATAAAAAAATATTAGAATTGAAATACCACTTTTGAACAAGCATTTTGATATTCTAGAACACTGAATCCTATTTTTGACCCAAATGGAAAAAAAAATACTGCAAAGATGAAGTATTATTCTCGAAGTATGAACTTTATCCATTTCATTATAGCAAAATCATACATTTAAGATAACGAGGATTAAAATTACAATACCTGTCCTCCTTCTTAAGGTGTGCACTATTGTTTATGTTAGAGAACTGCCTTGAAAACTTTTTAATACTATCCAATAAACAAACATCTCATAGATTATGACTTTTTTTCCTATTTTCTAATTTACAAATTTTTAGCGTATTAACTTTGAGTCTCATAGTACTATTCTAAAAGCTAGGATTAAATTCAGCAGTTTCCTATATTCCAGCGAAAGGTTTTAGAACGAGGCATAACGATAAAGATGGCAATTGTTTCAAGCTTATATTACATTACAACCTCAAACAGATTTAAGAAAAACCATATGGTTTTTAAAGTAATGTACTGCTGGTGGTAGTATTATTATTACAGACACAATTTCAAATTTTAAGAAATAAAGTAAACACTTTATACTCTGCTTTAGCTTTGCCCAAAACATATGGGATGTCCCTTGCAAATGGAATAATTGAACTCTGATAATAAAGTTGTTTGTAATTGATAGTAAAATATATTCCAAGTCGCTGGTTTTAATATTAGTGCTGGTACTCTTTAATAACTTCCAGTATCTATATATGCATTGAATAATGTGGCATTCTTAAAATACCAGACTTATCCAAAATATTTACCGAAGTAGGGCATTCAAATAAATATTTTACCTTGATTAGTTTTTAACCAAAATGAATCCCATGTTATAGGCAGAAATGTGGACTTAATTCTTTTAGATAAATAGCCTACTTAATTTCCATGCTAACAGTAACTTAAAATTATTCCATGACTTGCAATAATGTAGGGGAAGTCAACTCATTTAAAGGCAGTTTGTGTGATGTTTAATCTTCCTTACATATATCTTCTAGGCAGATTTCTTTCTCTATGGTAAGTTCTCTCCAAAAGATAATTGGTTTATAGAGGGAGCAAATATTTAGCGCTGGTTAAGTTTGCAAGCGGTACCCAATGATTTTCACGACTACTTTGTCAAACCAGTAATTACTTGGTGGGGGTAGGTAGGGTGGTCAAGAAATGAAAGAACTTGGACATTAAAGTTATTACAATACTTCAGAAAACATTAAACATATGACAAACATTTCTTACAAGGCAGTCATTGAATAATTAGAATAAGCAGTCGGAAAAATTCTGTTGCTGAAAACACAGTTATACATTAGTGTTCATCCAACTGAAGATTAGTGCATTAAAAAAAGTTAAGAAAAAATCTTCCACGTTCCAGTTCAGCTGCACTTGATTCAAGTGTTGCTCATAGAGGTTTGTGTTGTTATAAATTAAACATGCTGCTGCCTTAGCAGCTAAAGTACTAGGGGAAAATGTTCACGTCACAGAATAAATAGAGCAGTCTCTTTCGAGCAAAAAAGTTATCTCACACCAATTCTGGAGGTCATCCACTCTAGACCTTGGCATAACCTGAAACAAAAGAGAAAAATATTTTCAAAATGAAAAACTTTATACTTAAAAATTGAAAGTATACTTATTATTTTTAGTCTTGCCCAAAGCTTGGTAGGACAATAATGATTTCTACACTTAAGTGACCATATTCAGGTAACACTAAAATATGTGGACATTTTAGGTAGAAGATTCACTTAAACCAAATGACCTTACCTAGTTGAGTAATGTGGGAAATTGCTTCAGTCTCATCTTGAGGATACAGCTTTGGCGGTTTTGCCAGCAAGACTGCAAATATGCCTCATCGCCTACCCCTTTAAGATGAACTAAAACTGCAACCACTATAGAAGGACAACAGAACTTCTTCACCTACCCCCCTAAATTCTAAAGAATGGAACCCATGCATAACACACTGGGTTCTCCTTGGCATATTTATCCAAACTCAAGTTCTTAGGAAAGGAAGAAAATACTATAATGGCATTTGTTTCAAATGTTTACTGTCTAGAAACACACATCCCAAAAGGATTCTTGATAATAAAGGGGACATACTCTTGTGGAAAGCTGGGTGCACAGGCTTAAATGTGAAATTTCTTTGAAGCTTCCTCTCTAATTCAAGTGACATTATAGTTTTCTCCCAGTTAGTAAATGATAAAATCAAAAAATGAACAATTAAAAATGTGGACTGTGAAAGTTTAACTCAAAAGTTTACTACTTTTTGGGCAAAATATTGTTTATATTAAAAGTTACAAAAAGTTTGTCAGTAACTTTGTTAAATTGTAATTTAACAACTGTAATTGACTAAAATTATTTTAATCCTGTAACCCTGCCACACAAGATAAAAACCATCTTTAATTAAGGACCAAAAGGGAGCATGATCAAAGAAGAAAACAAGTTGGCCTAAAACAATGGAAAGGAATTTGAAAGAAGTCATCCTCCCCCCCATGCTGATTGGCACTTACCCTTCTCCTGTTAAAGCACAGCAGGATTGAATGTGCCAAGGGTGATCCTTAATTGAACTGAGGGTGAGGTATTTGGAGATTTCAGCTGCTGTCATACACCCTTTCATATCCTGTTTATTTGCAAAGATAAGGACTGCAGCCTTCCGTAAATCCTGCAATCAACATGAAATATTTCTAAGACCTGAAATGTCACAATTCCAATTAAACTGATGAAGCAGAAGAGTAAAATGTGCCCTACTGGACAGTTATAATGAAACCCTCCCACTTTAAAATGATTAGGCACAAATGTTTAATTTAAAATTTTTATGGGAACAGAGCAAATAATCTCAAATAACCATGATTTAATAATTCACTCTAACTAAGACAGATTAACATAAACTGAGTAAGTTATTTTTCTATTGTTGGGCCCAAGGGGTCGCAAAATAAACCTGAATCTTAAGTACTGACTAAAAACTATATGAACAATATTCTAATGGGCAAATATGGTAGTATGTTGCCAAATACTAGGGAGTTTCTCCAAAATTTAAAGGAGAGTAGTGAAGGTGAGGGGTGGGCAAAACTTACTACTTACTAGTCTTTGTATAACTTAAGCTCATTCATTGAAGTTCACTGCAGCATTGTTTATACTATCAAAATATTAGAAATAACCTAAATGTTCATTAATAGGAGAACAGATCAACTGTGATACAGTCATACAGTGGAATACTATATGGTTGTTAAAACAAATGAACTTAAGTCGTATGTACTAACATAGATTAATTACAATGTTGTGCCACAAAAGCCAAGTTTAGAGAGAGATAAAACCATTACATGAAGTTTTATAAACATGGCATATAATACTCTGTACAACTGACAGGTAAATAAAAATGTAATAAAAGTATTAAAATATTCATAGGAATGATAATCACTATTTTAAGATAGTGGAATTCTTTTTGGATTCCTTGAGAAAGGAAGAAAAACTGGAGAAATCTCAAAAGATATTTACTATCTTATGTTGAGTTGTGGGTGCGTGAATGTGTTTTATTATTATTAAAGATTTTTGTATATTTAGAATTAAGAGATCTCAAAGTATTCACTAAAGAATTTTCAGTTATTATAAACTCTTGGGATTTTAAACACTTAACTTTTCCTCTTTCCTGCTTTGATCTATCAGACATTTTGAGGCATAAATCAGTTTTAACTTTGAAAAATGTTTTCAATAACAGTAGTCTACAAATTAACATGTTTGATTTTTTTAAGTTTGAAAAAGTAATGAAAATATCTGAGTTCAAGACTTTATTAATTTAATATATAAAACTTTGTTAATGATGAAATAACCAACAGTAGAGCACATTGATATTTGTAAAAAAAACCCAACAAAGCCAGTATACAGGTACCTTACTCCATTGTTTGTTTGCTTTCAAAATTTACCTCATGAGCCAGCATTCTGTATAATTCTTCCTTCGTAATAGCTAGTCGTTCCCTGTCAATGCTATCAACAACAAGAATGATGAACTAGGAGACAATTAAAAAGAAAGAGAACTGAATGGGATGTTGAAGTTTTCTGCAAAACTACACTCAAGTGATAGAAGTACTTTCTTCACATGGCATCATCATTAGTATAAAAGTCTACTGCTTTTCCATCACAAAGAGTTCATATTATATGGAATTACATCAAGCAGTAAAATCCAAATGTTAGTAAGAAGTAACTTGTAACTTCAACAAATACAAATCATATCCAATTTTATTTTTTAAGTGAAATTTGAGTACATAATATTCTGTAATACTAAGATTTATTTTAAAAAGCAAGTAATAAAAGTAATTTTAAAAAAGAAAATCAGTTAGTAAAATAACCTTTGCTAAACCTTAAAAGTACTCTATAATCATTCATTTAGGCAATCAATAATTGTTTAACACAGTCTCTTGCCTATTAGAAAGAAGTACACAAGCTGGTTTGAAAGAAAAACAAACAAAAAAATTAATAAAGTTTCTTTTATAAACAATACCAACAATAAAAACACAAGAAAAATGTGCTAAATACAAACAAATACTTAGGTGTTAATATGCTAAAGATGATGCGTGAAATTAAAGAGAGCAAAGGAAACTAAAAAAAACTGTTGATAATTGTGTATATGAATAAAGGCAGGTCTCACACATTAAAAATAAAAGCATCTTTGCCCTAGTCGGTTTGGTTCAGTGGTTAGAGTGTAGGCCCTTGGACTAAAGAGTTCTGGGTTCGATTCTGACCAAGGGCACATACTTCAGTTGCAGGTTCGATCCCCAGCCCCAGTTGCAGTGTGTACAGGAGGCTACCAATCAATGGGTCTCTCTCACATGGATGTTTCTCTCTCTCTCTCTCTCTCTCTCTCTCTC